ATTCCAAAATTAGATTAGAGTGTGATATTTTTAAAAATATCGTTTTTGGGGACACATTTTTTTCAATAATTTCATTGTTTTTTAGTATAATATTTCTTGGTGAACTATGATACAAACTAACACATATTTGGAAGATTTAGAAAGATTTGATGTAAATGCAAGTTCTTGGCCATTTTTGTGTGCTATTTTTAGAACATTCTTTAGTTTGCATCATATCATGATGATTATATTTATGACTGCAATGCTAATGGTGGAATTTCTAGCATTTAGCAAAGATTCTATGAAGCTTTTAAGCATCTCTGTGGGTATACTTTAATTTGACCTGCCTTTATCATGGCAAATAATGTGATAATGTATTGTAATGTAATTAATATAATCGGACTTGTTACCGCAGAATGTGCCGTTGACGCAACGTTCCACGAATAAGTGCACTAACAAGAAAGAACCGCTAAACAATAAAACATTTTATTTGATACAGACGTTAAGTGAAATTTAATTTTAAAAGGTGGTCAGAGTGTTGAAAAAAATCAAAATAAAACACCAGCAAAAACATATCTGACAAAATATTTAGGCAGAACAGGAAATGAAAATAAAATATTATTTATGAATAAATCAATTTCAGTGCACCTGTATTAGGTGAAATAGACATAATAGTGCCTTTTGGTTGCCTTCATAATGGTATTGCATTGTCCTAAAGAATGTGAGATTGCAACTTAAACAATTACAGTAATTGGATGATAGATAAATGATTTATATCTACTGAATTGTCAGTCCTTATTATGACTTCAAGGCAATGACAGAATAAAAATAAATTACAAAGAAATTTTTCCTAAAATTTCCATTCTTTTTTCAGTGACAAACCAAAAAAAGTTTCCTTTTGGAAGTTGATAACTTTGAATTCTATTTTTTTTAAAAGAAAAAAAATCAACGAGTACCGGTAATTTGAAATGATATCTGAAATAAAGGAAGAGAAAAGAGACATACTGTAAATGTCGGAGATTGTGAATCAGTTTATATGGAATTTCATTTTCATCTCACTTTATAATACTGTACAATTATGGTGATGTTTCTGAGTGTTTTGAATAATTAGGAAGAGGCATGATACCAAAATAATGTTTGGCTATTACATTACATATACTGAGATTAATAAATTTTAAACTTATTATATATCATTTGGGAGTTTATTCTATACTTAGTAATATGAAAATATGATCAGGATAAAAATATTCTATTTTTAACTTACATGAAGGGTTGTTGAATTGTGAAGAAAGGAATTTTTTGTACAGTATTACAGGCATTAGCTGGTAAACTTTATTTGTATCAGTTTTGTAAGTTATGAATAGCTAAACCCCCTCTAATTAGGCCAAATAAAAAAAAATTGTGTTGGCCACGCCCAATCGACCCATTTTTTACAAAATTCAGGGTGGGATTTTAGCTTTTTTTTTTTTTTTGACTAAAAGATAAGGCTGGAATAGCCTTGGACTAGGATGGGGGGGGGGGGAGACAAGGCCTAGCCTTAGCCTATTTTGGTGCATGGTATGAGATGTAAATCCAAAATTGTTGTATTATTTATGTATTTTCTACCTTTTAAGCATAAACACATTTTTGGTTAAAAAAAAAAAAATAAATAAGTTTTTCTACCAACCTACCCATTTTTGGATTTTCCCAAAATGTGGCCAACACAATTTTTTTTTTTTTTGGCCTTTATGGACATGAATCTGAAGTCAGTCATTGTAATGGCATATTGTACATTTAACTAGACATTAAAAAAAAAAAAACCATGTAAAAAACAATTTGTTGATAAATGACAGAACATTTATGTACACAGTATACTCATCATTACTTTAATGTGCATTAAGGTAATGTCTCTACTCTGTCATCTTTCCAACCTGTACATTAGATAATGTGAATTCAGCAAACGAATTCAGCAAGCAAGTTGGGATCATTAAACATCAGGTTTTCCTAGCCAAACCTATCAGGCAATTGGCAATTTTCAAAAAAATTTTAATACTTGCAATTTGTGGTTTGTGTGCACTGTAATGTGAATGACATTTGATGACATCAGATGAATGACAAATGATGTTTAAGGCTTAATTGTTAATTGTTATTAACAAGTTTATAAAATAGGTCTACATCCACTGAAGCCGAGAAGGGGTTGGTGGGCTAGTACCCTTGGACCCAGGCCTTGCTTGTGACCTGTTACATAAAATTACATTTTTCCCCAAGACCTAATTATATTGTAATTGATAAAATTAAGCATCTAAACACATAATATAGGGAGTAGTCTTCCCCCTCACTTAAACCCACCACCTGCTCTGTATCCTTGGGCTCTGCTGGGCACCTTTATTGGCATTCAGACACTACTATTGGGGCCTCAGCATATACGCTTCAAGGCCCAGATCTGCTGCAGAAGGCCCTAGCTACATTTTTTATTCACTTTTTTAAGTAAAATATAAGTGAAAAAAAGAAAAGACTGCTACAAGAATTGATCCAGCGACCTTTCTGAGTGCAATTAGAGTGTTGTTCTGAGCTCTTCCAACTACTATACTATAAACAATCTCGGTTTTAACAAATGGCATAAAAAAAACCTATGGCCAAGCTATAGTAATTTTATTTTTAGATTTATATTCTTTAATGAATGGAAATATATTTATCGTCATCATCAACACCATCGATAACCATAAAGCTTATTTTCTTTTTTTGCATACCTAGGTAGTTTTACATTCTAAACAGGTATGATTGATGGCTTAAAATTCACTATCTATCGTGAATTATTTAATTTAAAATAACCTCTGTTACTCCGAGAGATTGATTCACAAGTTGTTTCTGGTTATAGCTGCATACGAAGTGTAGAAACTATACCTGTGCCATGTTTTTAATTCAGGTATTACATGTATTCATGAAAACTGGGCACACAATGTGCCAACGGTCATCAGCCTATGTGATTCCCACAGAGAAAGCAGCATACAACAAGGAGGCATATGCAACGGATTGTTTTGAATGACAATCCGCTCAGTCTGCCAACGAGCATTGCGTCGTCAAGTGCTCAGAGAACAAATGGGTTCGTAGGCCAATGGTCGTATGTACGACCGTTGTGCGACAAAGTGTGTGCATGGCAAAAATAAAATAATAATGAAAAATAATAGCAATAACAAACATAATTATCATTTATCATTTATCTTTATGTGGGTTTATATAAATTTAATGCTTAATCTAAGGTATGTTTTGTTTGAATCTTTTTCAGATAATTTTTTAAGAAGGCCCAAGAGCATAGAAGGGTCATCCGTTCATTATACCATTGTTCAAATACATTGCAAATGTTGCTGTGTGTATTTTGTTATGTTCAGTACAGTAACTTATGTTCAGATTTTTGGACATATCCAACTCAGTAGAATGTGACTGTACCACAGTATCACCAAAATCAGTTTCATCCTCATTATTATCACCATCATCTTCATCACCACTACCACATTATGCTAACTACCATTATCATCATCCAAATCACCACCATCAATATTCATCATCTACCTGCACCTTATTACAATCAGTTTTATTCTCATTATCATCACCATAATCTTCATCATCACTACTACGACTAACACCGTCATAATATTTTTGACTGCACTACTACCCTACTACCATTATGTTAACTACCATGATCATCATCCTAATAACCACTATCAGTGTTCATCACCACAGTATCACCAAAATCAGTTTCATCCTCATAATTATCACCATTATCTTCATCTAAGCTAACTGCTGTACGATTATCATCATCCAAATTACCACCATCAATAATCATCATCTACCTGTACCTTATTACAATCAGTTTTATTCTCATTATCATTGAACCATAATCTTCATCATCACTACTACCACTATGCTAACTATTATCCAAATCACCACCATTAGTGTGTACATCACCTCCATATCACCAAAATCAGTTTTATCCTCATTATAATCCACCATCAGTATTCATCACTACCATATCACCAACATCAGTATTATCCTCAATATTACATTATCATCACCATCATCATCTTCATCATCATTACCACCATTATGCTAAGTATCATCCAAATCACCACCATCAGTGTTCATCACCTCCATATCACCAAAATCAGTTTTATCCTCATTATCATCACCATCAGTATTCATTACTACACTATCATATCACCAACATCAGTATTATCCTCAATGTTACAGTAGTATCACCATCATCGTTATCAAAATTTATAATGTCTAAACTATTCTGTAGATGGTCAGTGTAATTACTGTCTATGGTCAGTGTGAAGTACAATATAATTTTAGAAATCATATGGCTAAAAAACCATACAATATATTCTTTGAAAATATGATTTCAATAATCACATAACTTGAAGAAATACATCATAACAAATCATTGGACATGTTAATTGTGAATAAATTACTATAATATGAAGTGTGTGCCTATTTAATGCATCAAAAATGTATTAAGTATTTTGGCACTTGCACTATTAATTGTGAATAAAATTGATTATCTAAATCTACATAAGTATGAAATCAATTTTGATAAGATTCAAAGTTTATTGGCAATATACATTGTTAATCACATGACTTGAAGAAATACATCATAAAATCATTGGACATGTTAATTGTGAATAAATTACTATAATATGAAGTGTGCGGCTATTTAATGCATATCGAAAATTTATGAAGTTTTTTTCACTTGCACTATTATTGTGAATAAAATTGATTATGTAAATCTACATAAAGTATGAAATCAATTTTGATAAGATTCAAAGTTTATTGGCAATATACATTGTTAATACATGATGCAATTGATCTAAATCTACAAGTGTGCACCTATAGTTTAATTATAGCGAAACCAATACCTATCTTCCATTATCGATTGTGAATAAATCAAGTACTGGAATTTATATGAAATCATATATCAGAAACACTCATGATTAGTTTGAACAGAAATATCAGTTGTGAAAATATCAAATAACAAATCTTACCAATGACTGTTTATCAGCTTCTAAAACCCTGATTCGTTTCTCATATTTTTGTGCCAGTGCCGTAAGCTCCAGTGTATTGGCCGCATCATTTCTAACGTCTGATGGAAGGTTTCTGGAAGGCTAGAGAGTGAAAGAATGAGTAAGTACATGCATGAGTAAGTAGGAGCGATGCGGCTAACATGGATTTTGCTTCAGTTTCCAGGCAAGACTTAACAAAATCTTTGTCTAGGTGTGCATTCATGCATCACTCAAACTTGCATTTCTAAAGTTCACACTTTAGCGTGTGTGCATACAGACCAAAAATTACAGTAAGTAGTGATAGATGAAAGTATGATGCATATCATGATTATAGTGCTGTTAATGATGATGATGATGATGATGATGATGATGATGTTAATGATGATGATGATGATAATAATAATGGTGAGGCTGACCATGATATTAATATAATAATTATGATATGGAAGATGATTATGATGAAATGAAAATGATGATGATGGAAAAACAGTGATGATGATGTTGATTATGACAATCTTTGATGATGATAATAATGATGATGATGAAAGATGCTAATATTGATGAATGACATGTATGATAACAGGGATGATGATAATGTAAGCATATAATACATATGAGGCTTGCCCTCCTAAAACTAGCATCAGTTCCAAACAAAAATGGAAATTGACTTTTTAATATATTCTTATTCTCCACATTATAAGCATTTGATGGGTCATTGTTTACTGGAATCGACTTACTAATTGCCAAAGTTATAAGTAAAAGTATTATGGTTTCTCTGTACTAAAGTATACAACACTGCTACATTCTTATGCTAATTCCTCAGTTTAACAATTAACTTCCAATTCCAAACAGTGTATGCTGGTTTAGAATGGCAAGCCTCATATTACTATAATTTAAAAAATTAAAAATATGACATATGCTTTGGAATATGCAAATTCATTCTGTATGGTGGAAATATATTACAAAATATTAGAATAAACAAATATTACAGACAAAAAAATACCAATACATTTTGGCATTTACATCTGTTTTATTGTGGTTCTTATTTGACACTTTTATGTACATGATATTAAGTAAACACCAAGCATACACACATATCAGCAGTCAATGATATTGTAGTAGTAGAGAAAAGGCATTAAAATGTTTTAATATTTGCTAAGGATGCTTCGTTCAAGGGAAAATGTCACGCAAGTATTCAGATAGAATGGTAGTCTTGTTTTTTTTTTTTTTTATTAAATTGCCCTGACAAGTGAAGGATAGAACTTCAAAAAGAGATGATTACTAAAGGTTTATTATCTTTCTAAGACACAAAAAGGGAGTTCGATAAAAAACTTGGGAACAGTTTAATGAGAAACAGATTTTTTATTATTTACTGGGGTAAAAGTGGAGCTACTGTACACTCCTTTTCTCCCCAGTTTTTAAACATTCAATATCTTTTTCTTTCAGGTCTGCGACTTTGTGAGATATCAGTTTCAGTTTTTTAAACTTTGTTTCTTCAGCCAAAACTTATCAATCAATGTTCCATATTTTCTGTACACAATTACAAAATTATATTTTTGAATATTTTTTAGTAGTTTTGCAATTCCATGGAAAAAAATGATACTTTTGAAGTCCTGAGGCATACACAATTTGAAAGGTTATGCTACCTTCTCGTAATACTTAAAATATGCACATAACATTAGTGTTATATTTCGGCGAATTCTAATAGTCACCTCATTCTCTATTTAATTCAAACCTGATAATGGTTATGAACCAATGCATTTTAGTTTAGTCATTCCTTATTACTCAAGATAGTTCTGATATACCAAATTGAAATGGAATAGTTCAATATTAGATTTCATATTTTGCTAATCTCACGTAACAATTTTAATACTAACGAATACACCCACACATATTACATATTACTAAAGGTGTGTGCTAATTTTTGTCTGCGGGCCCTGAGCAGTTTGCAACGGTGGACGCTGGGGAGGGAAAACTATAATAAATTATAAGCCTCCTAGAGCAACCCCTCTCCCATCCCCTCTTACCTGTTCTTAAAAAAAAGATCTAAAATGCTATTTATAAAAATCACAAAAAAAAACTGCCATCAAACACAACATTCACACATAATGCTGAAATGCTGAGTGGAGATATTATGTATCAAGGCTTGCTAAAATAACAGTAAGGGGTGTAACTTTTTCCAACAGAGGTCAAAATTTCAAAGTAGATTTCCATATACATTTCTACAAAAATCATATGTAGAAATGTCCAAATTATTTTTTAAAATGTTATTTTGGAACTTAATCTACATTAAATCTTGACTAATGCTATGCTAAACCTGATAAGTATAATCACTTTGAGCAAAAACTATGTTTGATTTGCATTGTTCAACTGATATCATGTGCAGAGCAAAAACATTTTAATTACCATTTTTCATTTGTCATTATAATGTAGTTCATAGACTAAACATTTTTTCTTTGTCAAACTGAATTGGTCTTTCAATATTTTTAATGTAATTCCCCATATAACATAAAAGATTATACTAAAATAACATTTTTTTAAGTTCATTACCTATTGGAAAAGGAATTTGAAGTAAAACATAGTGTACAGATAACCATTAGTTAGGGTTACTTTATAATACAGTACCTGTTGTTAACATAAAAGAAGCCTCTGAAACAATTCAGAAAATCCTTTAAAAGTTCATAATAATTTGTCAATGTATTGAGAAATTTCACTTAAATGTAGATGGTTTATATCCTGAATTGTTTTCAAGCCTAAACAAAGTATGTGTGCAATATTATTTTATTATTTGATAAATTATTCTTGCAGGGTCAAGAGTTAGAAAACAATAAAATTAGGTTTCTGAATAATGGCAATCTGTATTACTGGTTACTTGTATAACAAAAAAACAAAAAAAACCACCCAAAACTTAAAATTCATTCCTATAATTTTAGTAGATCAAAACCAAACATATATAGCATGAAATTATAAAAATATTCCTAACTCTAAAATTAAAAGCAACAGAAACTATGGTATTTGAAGCCTCTGAAACAAGTTTTTTAACTTACAGGTAATTCTTTAAAAAGATTAACTTAATAGTTAGCTAGGTATAGTTTCCATTCAAGTACAGTCCACCTGTCGTGTATTTTCATACCGTGGTGGTGGGCGAAGTAGGTGAAGTTTTAGAATCCAAGACTCATTTTATACTATTATTATTTTTTTATTTTTTTCCCAATTTTTATTTTATTTAGTTATTTTTAAAAATTTAAATACCAACCCGTTTGCTAGGCTGCTCTGGGAAGGGGCGTGACTCCCATTTCACCTTATGGTGGAGTACCCAATCTCTTACTAAACTTAGTTTAAGTCATCAGTTACCCTAAATGATGATATAATAACTTTTGAGTCATAATATTATATATTATGCTCTGTTCAGATTACCAAATCTATTTGTATGCCCATATATAGTCATGATGTCCCTATATATGGTCATGATGTGAAATCATCATGACCACATATATGTCACATAGTCTGTACAGCGCTTTCAAATCTTTGTTAAGATAATATAATATTTTGAGCTAATGATACAATAATGTTTGATGATTATTAATAATATTTATTTATTTATTTTAATTTTTATTGAAATTCAGTTTACAATATAGAATAAATAATATTAAGCATGGTGCAGAGGAAACCAGGTGAAAATAAACATATACTAGTCCATCCCCTGAACAAAAATATCATTTGATGATGATAAAATAATTCAATACTGTTTGAATGGATGTGTATAATGCTGCATTAATTTAATATTGTATTTTATCACCTCTTCATATGTAAAGTGCATTGAACAAATGTAAATCTGAAAATGTGCTATATAATTAAATATTAATATTATTGTGTGCTGATTTTATAAAATTTGATTACACAATGATGTTTGATATAATGTAATAACTTACCATCTGGTTTCTCCTGGACTGTTCATAATTAGGACAAAAAATAATTGCTATGTTGTCCAAACACAGTGACATTTGTAAATCTGGGTCGGGAATATTTATTTATAATATATATATATATATTACATTAGGCTTTATATTCACAGGTATTATATTTGAAATACTTTGTTTTATGTATTTAAATAAGCAGTCTCAATGATAATTAAACCTCAATTAAAAGGGTGGTTTCAAAGGAAAGTATTAACTTGTATAAATTACACATAGAGAATATTTATATTTTTTTTTATATGAAAATAAAAACTTGTCATATGACAACTAAACACAAATGTATTACTAGAAAAAGCTTCATAGTAAAGAAAATAAACTTAATTTAAATTCAAAATTTAAAAAAATAAACTGCTTCTTTATAAATCCTATATGCTACCATTATTGATTAAATAATGCTTGTTTAAATTATGTAAACAAAATAGATTATAATTGATAACATGGTAATTATGAGTCAAGCAGTATGACAAGTAAAGAAGACCCACCCATCGTAGTACAGTATATGACAACTACAGCGTGATCCACTGTACACTATTTCTAAACAGTGCAATAATAATGCTTTTATTTACATAGGCCATACCATTGGTGTGTACAACAATGCTAATAATAAACACTGGATGAATCCTGCTCTGCTTGAGTTAAGTGTTTCAAATAGAGATTCATTGAGTAAAATCCATGTTTAAATACAAACCATAAGGAGCCCGAATAAAGAACAGATACATTTACTTGAGTGAATTTCTTTATTTCATTCTCATACAATTACTGGATTGACATGAACTATGCTTTTAATTACATCTATAATCAAGGAGCTATTATAAGCTAATTTTTAAATGGAGTCTGATCGCACGGCCCCTCGAATATAACCTCACATGAGAGTTTCTGTAGATGGGATCATGGAAGTAAAAACCTCCATGGTGGGATCAAATAGTATAGAATTTCAAGAGGTTTAACTGCCATGATTTTGTATGCACGCAATGAAACGTTAAAAAAAAGTAAGGTGATAAGGGGCGCTCTGTTTAGGAACGTCTTTTACGTTCTTTTGAAGGATGCACTCTAGTTTGTGATAGTACTTTTTTCTAAGATAATATTATGTTCCAACGAAACCCAGAGAGTTGGACCCCTTACAGT